GTACTGAGATATTACCTGGTCAGGGAGATCATTCACGTGGGGGGGGGGGGGCGCGGTGAAAGTGGGTCAAACTGCCGAGTAAGCATTTTGTCAAATGCTTACACTGATAATGAGATTGCGGTAATTTACGATTCGTACGCGGACTGACGAGTCACCATTGTTTTAAGTGAAACCGCCAGCAGTGATCAGGAGAATTGTTTATTATAGTTCTTATGAAGTCCCACGGCAGTTGCGTACTATAAATACCGTAGTCCTTGTATGACCACTATCTTTATCTGTAACCGTCTCTGACGAGGGTTTCGAGTAAGAAACCGAAACGTCAGGCCACTGAATTCCTTCTCTTCTGATGAAAAAGTAGCCGGCGTTATTGCATCGATGTCGCACTGGGTCCGAAGGTGACCAACGAGACCGATTCGTGCGCGGCATTCACGTCGGCAGCGCAGACGTATTTGAAACTGCAAATGGTTTGTATTAAAGAGACGACACACTTGTTTGGGTTTGATGATAACGATCTGATTTCCTCCGTTGATGGCAAATCTGGCTTTCACGTCTCTGTTCCAGACCAGTCTATTCTGTGCGGGGAACTCTTAGGTCCCTGGATAAACATGAATCCGTTTAAGAGAATTCTTCAATGTGAACATTTAGCGTCGTTCTAGGCCTCCCGGTCGGCGATAACCAGTGGCGACGTCACAATAGAAGAGACGTGTATCTTTCCTCCTAACGAAGTGGCCAGTCCAATGTAGTGACAGTTTCCTCAACAGGTCGTGGTTGTTGGGGATTTCGGTCCGTTCTAGAACTTCCGTGTCAAGTATCCTTTCCTGCCATCTCAGCTTTAGTCTTCTGCAAAGGCAGCTGAGATATAAGTGGCTGGACTTCCTGCCAAGATGGGAGAACAGGACCAGATCTCCGCTTCGTAATGAGGTGTATTCACGGAAATGTTCTTGTACGCCTTCAGTTTAGCATTCAGTTGGAGGCCGTAGCGATTCCACGCAGAGTTCTAAATCAATTTGCACGGATGCTCTAGACGCTCTATTCAGCGCTCGATAGCTGTTGATATGTGATTACAAATTGTCTGTATTAATAACCAGTGCAAATTGGAAGCGGCCAAAGGCGAAGAGGTCTGTGCTCCGTTGCATGTTTTCTTTAGACATACTAATCAGTGCGCAATTGTCAGCAAAGAGCAGATCATAGTTATGAAGAGACGCGTCGAGACCTTCATTCATCGGATGTTGAGAAGGTGGCTGTGTTTTCTTTCGTCGATTCGTATCTCCGGGAACGCAACGCGGTTGGCGTCCATCAGGATGGCAGAGGACTACAGGCCAAAGAGGGTGTAAACAAACATGCATTCCTGCGTCACTTCATTGGTCCCTGCAAACCCCTAGGAAATTACGCCATTTTTCGTGACGCGGACCATCAGTGCATCGTAAACCGGACGTACCATGCTCGTAAATCGCTCAAGACAACCGAACTTCTACACATAACCACGCAGTCCTTTACGATTCCCCATGCTGTCGTCAGATCCACTTAGGTAGTGTAAAGGTGAGTTTGTATCTCCTGTCAATTCTTTTGTAGCTGGCGCGCGGCAAAGACCGTGTAAGTGTTTGCGCAATGCGGCCGTAATCTACAGTGGGTTCCCGGCAAAAGTCCCTGAAATCATTGGCCGTAGAAACCATTGCGGAGGATAGGGGCAGAGTTCTTCCCTTTAATGTTCAGTACAGAGATGTCCCTGGGATTTGCATTGAGTCGCCGGTTGCCTTGTCGCCTATGCAGAGGGACGGTGGTTGCGTCCTCGAAGTCCTGAGGAACCAGCCCGCTGCGCCTCATCTGCCATAATACCTCGTCGAATTTGAATGTGTGGTCGGATCTCGTCGAATGAGTTGCAACTTGAGAGCTGGCATCATTTCTCCGCACTGCTGCAGCGTGTTCGGCCATTCTCGTTCGGAGCTGTCTTCCAGGTTACTCCGAAGTAGTTGCTTTGTTCGCAACTGCACCAGATCCGATTGGTGGCATCTTCCGGAAGAAGCCGTCCGTTTTTCTTGACATTTTTACAGTTTGATTTCTTGTTCTCCTAGGTTTTTGGGTTTCCTTTCTGGTCGTTGTTTTCTCGCCTTTAAACTATTCGTTCTGGGGCTGCTGTAATAGGTGCTGGCGTGCATATTATGCTGGGAGCTATTGCCATACTTCTGGTTACTCGTCCAGTAGGCCTATTGGTAGCGTTAGTTTGGTCTAGACTGCATTGCAAGTGGGCTTTTATCTTTGTAATTTCTTCCTCAAGATAGTTGACCTTGACGGCCGGAACTGGCATCCACCGCAACTTTGGCCTGTATTGTCTGCGTCTCTACAGTCAAGGAGACTACGTGATATCGCTCGCCGCCGAGCTGCGGTGGCCGGGGGTTATCGCAGTTGACTAAGGAAGGGGTAACCGCTGGATCGACTCCATATTCTGGCCCTATATTTTGGACGTCAATGCGTACTTCAGTCATGCCGTGAAGTTATGGAAAGGGAGCAAGCCGCAGGAATCGAAAAAAGTCGCCTAGGGCCGAATGGGGAGGACTGTGAGTACAGTTGGGCTTTTTGGACAATTTCAAGAATAGTCAAGTTGGCGAACACGCGTTTTCGGTAATTCTTCGTCAGGCCAATACAATTACATGAAGAACTGAACATGTACAAAATCAACAGTATTTATAGATTTCTCAAGGGTTTATAAGTCACTAACATTCATCATCCCCACGTTGCCCGCACGTCAGGGTCGGCGGGTGTTAGTCGTCAGAGCTAGGAGAGGGGAGTAATAGAGTCTTTGAGTGATGTTCTTGGATTGAGTACACGGAGTACCCATCATCGTGATTAGGGATTTGAGGCGGCATGGCTTCATCACTTGGGGTTGGCGTTGGCGTTGGTCACGGCAGCGAAAGCGCTTGTGTCAGAGTTTTCTGACAGCATAACACCGGATTCACTAACCGTATAGCCACTGCCTCTGCCGTTGCTAGTATCCGTTGGCGTAGGCCTTTAGAGAAGCATGTTGGTGTCCGGTAGACAACCTGAAATGCGTTCTTGGCATCGAATCGGTGGTTCGTATCGATTAAATGCGCGAGAATAGAACTCGAAATCGACCGGGTCTCACCTCTGTCTAGCCAGACGGGCATATGTTCACGCACCCTCTTTACCAGGCGTCTCGTTGTGCGGCCGATGTATCCTGCTCCACAGGAGCAAGTGAATGAATAAATGCACATTGATGTGGCCTCCAACGGTAGTCTGTCTTTACCTCCCAAACGTAGGAGGGGAGAGTTTGTGAAACATACGCGTAAATTCGCCGCAGGGAATGCCTTCGTGATAGCTGTAGATAAGCGCCGTCGGACTAGTTCGCTCTCTGCGTCTCCTACAAAAGGCAATCTTATGAATACATCTTTCTTTTCCGCAGTCGCAACAGTGGGTTTTTCCGCGCGTTCCCCAATATTTCGGAGGATAAACCTATCTGGGTATCCGTTCTCTCGAAGTGTGTTCCGCAGCTGTTGAAGTTCTTTTTCAATAGCTTCAGGTGAGCAGATGCGTCTCACTCTAGCCACCAATCCTTGGACTAAATTCCGTTTGGTGTTTAGGGGAACACAACTGTGGAAATTAACGTATTGTCCCGTCCAGGTTTTATTTCGGAACACCCTGCGCTGGATAGACCCATCCTCTTGCCTGTGCAGAAGGGCATCGAGAAAGGCAAGTTCGTTATCTGCCTCGGTCTCTGCAGTGAACTTTAGCGAGGGGTGGGCACTGCTGAACTTTTGGACAAGCTCCTCGGTATCGGTGATACCATCCACCCGGCAGAAGAAGAATGCAAGACCCGTAGGACTTTTTAGCTAAGACTTATTGGCAACATGCCAAGTGTACACATCCAGGCAGCTCAGCAAGCAGCATAGAAATTATCGACTGAGCCTTTAGTAGGTCCTGTAGCAAATGCGCGGTGGGCAGTTCGAGACGATATGTGGATTTCTAGGCTGTGTTGCTTAGGCTCAGATTGCCAGCAGAATCGCCAGGTTTACAGAAAATTGTCCTAGTCGTATGATGAGGACAAAGATGACAGCAAGACTGAGAGCGGTAGGCAACAATGCGTTTTGGAATCCTGTCTCTGATGTAGGATCAACTGTTTTCAGCGAGAAATTCGATTGAAAACGTCATTCTTGCTCCTAAAAATTTCAACCGCGCGGGTAAGAAGAGTTCGGTTGGAGGATGCTTCTGAAGTGCTTGGTTCAATGCTTCAGAATCTGCGACTTCTCTGTCAAAATCGTCGATTCATCGAAATTGAGAAGCAGCGCGGTTTCTTTCATTGTTGGGGCCGTGGATCGTCTTGATCGCCGTGAATTAGTCTTTGATTCACTGCCGTTGAGATATCCCTGGAACTCCACAAAATTACGGGCCATCCAGGACTCCTGTATTGCTCGGAACCTTTGCTGCTCTAGGCGCCGACAATGTCAGTAGTCCCTTTCCTCACGTAGGTCGGACAGGGCTGACTTTTTTCTCGGTGGGCAGGTCATTGTTGCCTGCGTCGTTGCCGTTGAACCATTCCTGGTTCTGGCGACGCGTGTGGCTAAAAACAACCAGGGCGGTCAAGTACAAGACGTTCCGCAGTTGAAACCATCGAGTCTCCGCAGAGGAGCTCTCATCTGCAATTGACAGTTCTTCCGGCGACTGGGTCAGTTGACTGCAGAAATATTCTCGGTGAACAGGCAAAGACAAAAAAACGATATTTAGCCTAATTGGAGACGCGTACCTTGTGGTTTCCTGCAGGATTGCAGACGGAGCCTCATCTTGTAGATGACGAGGCGATTGTCCGTCCAGCCAACAGTGTGGCAGACCGCTTTGGTCATTATTACGGTGTGTCGATCTCGCCACCGAACGTGAACATAGTCGATCAGCTGCCAACGTAGATGTAGGGAATACATCCAGGTGGCTTTCTTCCGCATCGGTAGGTGGAAGAAAGTGTAGGTCAGCAGGAGGCGATGCTCAACACAGGTTCACAGGAGAATGAAGCCATTGTAATTGCAGCCATCGATTCCATAAGGACCGAGCACTTCTCTCTCGGCAGCATGGTCCGTGCTGGCGCGATCATTAAATTCACCAAGGGCATTCAACTTATCAACCTTCGTCACAAAACGCCGGGAGGGTGCGGAGATCTTCGTAGGACCTGGGCATGCCTCGCTTGTACCGGTCATAATGGGGACGTAGGCGCTATTGATGGAGGCGGAAATAAATTCCCAAAGAGGTAAGCACTGACTTATCAGTCGGTCCTTGATGCCCTGAGGCAGATAAGGGAGACGTCCCACGATGTTCGGGCCGATAGCAAAGGCAAAGGCCGCATATCGTCGCTCTGCCTTTGGGCGGCCGGTCTAGGAGAAGGTATAACCAATGCCAAACTCCTCCAACTGGCTTTGTTCAAGGAACTGAGTTTCGCTGAGAACCGCGATGTGCACCTTTTGGAGCACCAATTCCCGAGCAACCGCCTTCTTGCATCGTTCTGGTCGTTTGTTCTTGGAATTGTCTAAAAGAGAACGAACATGGTAGGCTGCCAGAGTAAGCGGACTCCCCCTAGCATCCTGTAGGGGCGGCGAAGGGTAAGAGATATGCGCTGTTGTTACTGTTTTGGTGATTTCAATGGCATATGTAGTAGTCTGCAGGCCACAGACTGCGTGCAGATGTCGTAAACCCAGCTTTGTCTAGGGCACATGTTATAGCCCTCTCCATCCGAGGGGAGTAGCAGTAGTCTCCCTAAATAGGGCTACCTTGCCACACCAACGGATACCGTCCCCCATTATTGGTCACGGGATTTAGTTCGAGAACGACCAATGTTCTGGACCGCCTTCGAATTGGTATGTCGCCCTCGTTGTAGGTCTTCCAACAATGAGGGAAGAGAGTGGAGAGAGTGACTATTAAATGAGGAGGAAGAATTGGGGAGGGGAAAAGCGGAGCAGAAGCGGGAGAAGTGTGGAGGTCGGACAGTAGAAGTGTAGGAGAAGGGATACAGAAGTGGTGAGAGGAGAAGGGGGGAGGACGCCAACTATTGAGCGAGCAGCAGATAACTGGTTATTGCCCAAGCAGGTTTCTGACTGTTAACCAGTTAAAGGAATTTTTGCAAAATTGCTTAGGGGAATATGTAAGGAAGCATTGATAACACACAGTTTTTAAGAAACATTGCCTTTACCCCCTCAGTCTCAACATTGACCGACAAGCGCTAATAAACATAGATGCATTTGAGCGCTGTACAATCAGGTGGCTCGTAAACGGCTTCCAACGCATCCTTCATGAATGCCGACTGGAATGTTGTCAATTCGTGACCGTCATCATTTGTTTAGTGACTGCGAATGCCGATGATTTTGCTTTTTCTGTGCGGTGCCTCAGTGACAATATGCTAACAACGACAGCAGCCAGAACTCAGCTGCCCTACTACGTATAAGAATGTGTTGGCATTCCGATAAATGACCTTATAATAAGGCCCAGTTAGACGCCTCGGGGTTAGGTATGGCTGGCTGGCGACGGCAAATAAACCGGAAATGGTCGTTTCAGTCTTTATTTCATTTTTGAATAATGCTGTTTTACCTATACTACCCGCCACTGTGCAGTTGCGGTCGGGGTTCGAAAAAGAACACAAGGAACACCAAGACGAGTGAGTTTGTAACACGATTGGTAAGTGCCCATTCACCAATCCGTCATCTTTTCGACGCTTTTTAGCAAATGATTCTCCACAGACTTATTTTGTAAATGCCTAAAATTTATTTGACCTGCGTATGACTATTTGGGGAGATTTTAATCTTATTCAGTCATTTGATAAGCACACCTCGGGGCATTAACCCAATTAACTCCTATATAGCTAATCCAGAAATATCAAATTGAAGGACTACTCCAAGTGACGTCGTAATTTTTGATAGCCCTCTGAATCTGCGTAAATGTGCGCAGATTTGACACACGATGTCATATTAGGTTTTACGCATGTTACTCAATTTGCCAAGTTCTGATTCAAAAGTTTGCGTGGTTCGACAAATGTCGTTATGAGAATGAGTTGCAGGAATGCTGAAATATGTCAAGCATTCTGCTGCTGACGTCAATCAGAAAGAGCCATTCGAGGATACTGAATTACATTGTGTTTCTCACTCCGAAAATTTCTCATGATAATTATAACCAGTAGTGGGATTGCGAACATATCACGACACCTCTAGAGATCAGGACATACCGCGAAGTCGTTTATTGTGATGCGCAATGACCCTCGATGTGATGGGTCAGTAAAAAACCTCATTTCCAGTGGTCAGTATGGTGATATCTTTCTCGCCGGATCCGGCATTTATGCATGTTATCAAACATAAGTCAATCTGGCTTACGAAGTGAGAGGAGAGATGGTTGCCCTTAAACAAACACTGATGCCTCCATCCAGCAATAGCAAGCGCAATCTCGCGTCAGTGGTGAGAAGACGGTCGAGAAACACGGGGGAGATTTGTGTCTTGAAATGCCACAGACTAAAACTAAACATTTACAGTGAGTGACGGACCTAATGAAATGCAGCCGAAATTCTGAAATGTGCATTCGTTAGGAAGGATCGCCTAGGTAGAGTTGTAATATTGCTTATCGTGTGGCATAATCCTACTATGTTTTGGACTTGTCTGGTTGACGGTTTTCTAGTACACATCGTCTTGGCCTCCTGCTGAAAAAGCACTACTTAAGAAGCACGCATTCTCAAATTGGTTTTCGATGGTTTTATAAACTCAAATATACTTAATTGGGACACACACCGAAAAGAGCTTTCTTTTACTCGTTTGGTAGAAAATCACACTGCATTAACATTGCATACTGTGAGAAAGTGCATAATTAGACTTTAAAATGTTTCTTATCATGAGCTTTTTAAGACCTTGCCCTGCCCAGACAGCATCGTACATGCGCCTTTCGTTTCAATTCAGTTCATTGCAACATGCATGCAAAGTTGTCCCCACCCTATTGCATTATTTTTAACAGGTTTCGCTTTTTTATCTGCACTTCTTCGACTGTTCAGCCAACAGATAACGTTTTGTTTTTCTCTCGGTGACGGCGCGATAGACAAATAACCTAACCATGAAACCGCTGAAAAGCATCGATAAGCGTCGTGATCACTGAGCAAACCGGTCAGCCGATATCCGGCACAGACACTGTGGACCAAGAAGTCGTGTACCTCAGAGACATTGCGACGCGGCTGCTTACCCTGGAATCTAGTTTTGCCTTGCTCTGGTAGCGAATCCGGATACATACTTCCATCATGTCGTGGCTCCTTTGCCAATGCTTATTAAAACAGATTTAAGTGCTGTAACATAAGATTTGTCATATAAATGTAAATTGACCTTTCTAAAGGACATTACCGTGGGTTGCATATAGCTGCTACCATCAAAGTGTTTGTTGGGCTTGACTACCGAACCAGCAAACCTTTTCCGGTTAGACCGCATTATTAACCATATGTAATATATATAATACCCATGCTCCTGCAGCAAAATCCAGGATGGCTTTTTTCTTGTATCCTGGCCATAAGTAAACCTTGAGTGCAGGCATGAGCATAAACGTAGCCTTTATTTTAAACGGAATTTTTAAATTAACCCTGAGACTACATCAATTTCTACCCCTAAAACTTACCTTCGACTAAACGCAGGACAGTTATACTCATTTGAGTAAAATATAAACTGGAATTATCGCAAATTCCTCTATATTACGGTATTCACCTCTTGTTTCCACTAGCGGATGACCTCTTTGGCGCAAAGTTAAATTTCGCTGAATATCCCGTCCTCAAATTTTCAAACATTCGAAGCGACAGCTGACTGCATCCTCGAGTGACACCGGCCACCACTCGCAGACATGGCTTTTAGCTATGTCACAGTAAATCTGGATGGGTCTAACGTCGAGTAGGGGGGAAAACATTTGGAAGCCCTCACAACTGCATTTTTCAAACTCCTGTTACTCGAGATTCTCACCGTGGAATTCCTTAAATTACTCACCGTCTGTGATCTCCAACTGCAGTTTAAGGCGTTGGTGCGCTTGCTTGATTTTCTATTATCATTCACGTTTATAACATGTCTCCTGAACACATTAATCCAATGATACTTCTATTCGCTTGTATAGCTCAAATACATTGTTAAAATATAAGTTTGTTAATTTTGAATTTTTTCCCCTCAGTGTGTAAGTCTTCTTTCTGTCAGCACGGGTGGCTCATCAAAATAACCATTTGAAGCTACTGGGGTCAAATGAAATTCGCGCATTTGTATGCACATTCATGACAAAGAGAGTTGATGAGGACGGGAAAGATATTACTATGTCGACACATATTTTGGCACCATTTCAAGAAGTCGTTGACAGATACACAGTTGATGTACAGGCTATTTAGCCCATTTATGTGGCCAAATGACAATACCTTCGGGCATTTTTGCCAACTGGCACCGCCTACATATTCTCATTCAAAATGAAGTGCCTACCCTTCAATGCATGGTACGCCAATTAGTTGTGCTCAGTTCTCCTGAAGACGGATGTCAACAGGATGGGCTCTCTCCCGTTTAATGATTTGTCCAAGATCCGCAACAGTCATGCATCTTCTCCCTTCATCCAAGTGTTAAATGTGTAACCTGGGTGAGACGAATTGTTCAAGTTTGTGCATTATGCTTGTCATTTAAAAATGAATTTTTTATTGGCCATTAAAGGGGCTTTCAAAAAGGGCCTAGAGAACGAACGCGTAGTCTGACCTTGCGGTCTACGTTCCTTGAAAATTATGCTTCAATAAGCGTTTCACAACGAGTTCGGCACGACCTTTGCTCGTAAAATATTTGCCGTTTAAAAATATGAAATATTTCAACTGCGCTCACATTTTTAAATCTATCCAAGTAGATTATTTACCCTTTCTATACTTGGCATTGTTCGTAGAATTGCCTTATGGTAGATTCTGCTTGATATTGACTAAACAATGACTATAGGAGGTACACCGATTGCTCTGACAATGCAAATGAATTGCTCATAAAAAATTGTTACATTTATTCAGTATTTTGATACGTGAACTTATGCAAATTTGAGCATGCTCTACAACCATCTTTCGAGAGTTAACATGCCCTAAGTAGTTGCGTCTTTTTAATGACATGCAATATGACAGAATGGAGGGGTTTTCACTTCCAACATCGATTTTGCGATATGCGACAGTAGGACACATATACGTATGTAATATTCGTCAACGAACTAATGGTTAATTTAGAATCGGAGCTCTTAGAATTTTGACATGAGCCCTGCATAACGTCCTCGTCATTTAACGCTAACAGTTCTCTTTGCATTATTTTCGAAAAGCTAACTGAAATGCCATTACAGCCACATCGGCCGAAAAAATGATCCCTTATATTTGTTTAGTAGCTCAACAAAATTTTCCGTTGATATATTAATTTCATCGTGACGAACATAGTGTATATCACATAAAAGATCATCAAGTTGGATAATGAATCCGAAATCTTGGAGCATGCCAGGAGTAGGCCTTTTGTAAACGGCAGTTTTATTTCCTGACGTTTCTGGTAGAGAATCAACCAGAACTTGATAAATTACATTGTTCCTCTTGATACTTCCGCCGCACTGACGTCGAATTCTGGTGTAATCGAAAACTGAGTAATGTAATTAGGTTTGAATGCGGTTTGTGCTACTACGTTGTCAAACAAGCATGTATGTGATTTGAGTTACTTGACTGTGTGGATCGTTATGCTGACCGTAGCGTCGTAAAGCCAAGTAGTTTCATGGCTCCCCTGAGTCTAATTTCTGAGGTTCTTGAAGCTTGTCACCTCCGTAACGTACAATTTAATCGTCGAATAGCTCACACTACCGCTATGGCGACATAATCGACGATGACACTTGAAACGACGCCTTGGTAATGTATTCAGAGTGTCAAATAATTACATTTCGAATATCATGCCTTACGCGTGTGACCAATGGACTTAGGTAGCAACAGTAAATAACCTCGCTGCCAACTCTGAAACTTGGTTTAGGATGATCATGCAACGTTTGTGTGGCTGGACGGAGCCCAAACGCGCAGTCCAGAGAGGCGACCCGCTGTCTGAGGTCGCAGTTCAAACCCACGATAAAGGCCACGAATTCAGCATCACGAGAACGCGGAGAGTAGCATGGGACGGCAAAAAGACAGGATGAGAACGGTTGGAGACCTGGGTGGCTAACGTAACCTCTATCAACAGACGTGCTGACATATCCCGCTGCAATCGCGCGCTCATTTTCCGCGACAAAACAATGACTAAAAATTGAAGGTGCCAGTTACAAGAAGAGACAGTAACGACATCGCATGCGATTTAGTCCGAGTCTGAGTAATTCTCAGTCATCATAAACCCACATAAATTCGGGTAGATATCCGACGAGTTTGTTGTATTCTATAGCAAAAAGTAAAACTGTAATACTAAAGCAGGGAGTGTAACCACTTTGGCGTTTTTAGAAAAATCTATAATCGACACGGCATATAATAGAAAAAGAGAATCTAGCTCCAATATAGTGGAGGCATCTAAGGTAAGCAAACGTAGGAGATCTGGGTCGGTAAGCTGAGGAAAAACAAGTGGTAACCGGATCCAGGGAATTGTCTTGCTGACGTTTCGAACAGTTTGGCCAGCTCTTCATTTTCAAGGCCTCTAGTGCAAAAATTGACTAGAATTTTGAACAGAAAGTCAAAGTAACTGGCCTTGAGGTAACCAACTATTTCCCTTTCGCTGCCTTGGCCTACTGGACGTTGTTTGTGAGCGCTGGTGCCCTACTACGTCATTTATCATCACCTGAATTGGGCTCTGTTGCGATTGCTCCCCCCTTTTGTATGTATTAGTCGACGGGCCGTGTTTGTTGGGTAAACTCATGCTCCGTAGGAATGTCTTGTCCCTGTCATGACGTATGTAGGGACGTAAGACTTTATTGGTCGCAGTAAGGACTAGATGCATATTGACGGCGTTGACAGCTGAGTACCAACCATCAAGTGTGAGACGTTCTGTCCTTGAAGTGCCCCAGACTAAGATGGCTGCTACTCTAAAGTCAAAACTGTGGCCAGTTTCTCCGATGTGAAACGTGACCAGAGAGCATAGGTCCAGTCTCTGAGTTGTCAGTTAATGCTCATTTGCGCGGGAATGCAATTCTCGTCCTTGTTCCCAACCTTTTTTGCAGTCTTCATCGTTACAAGGTATATGATAGACAGTTACTTGGGTTTCAGTGGGTGGGAGTATGTATTTGGATGGCATCAGACGGCGACGAATCGTTGCCTGGGGTCGATGGGCAATGCCTAATCTGGCGGGTTGTAGCAGTCGTGAAAGCGTCTCGGGGACTCTTTTAATGCAAGGAATTGCCTTCCAGACTTCTGATTGTTCTTATGGTCGTCGTCTGTTTACTCGGCGCTTTCTAAACTTGATAAAGTAGCATGTGTATCAATCGGCCCAAAGGAGGTAATGAAGGTATTCTCGTTCGGCAACTCTTCATCAGGCCAAAACGGTTACATAGAAGTTTAAGGTAGGCGAATTACTTGGCTTATACGTGATTCGGGGACAATCAAAATCCATCATTCCCATGCCAATCATCGTTCCCACGCCATTGCCTTTTTAAGGGGACGCAGAAAGTGACCTATTAAGAAGACGTCTGAAGAGAGCGATCACTAGCGCTTTCCCCGCGGCAAACTTACGTGCATCTTTCACCAACTCTCCCCTCCTACGCTTGAGAAGTAAAGACCGACTCCCGTTGCAGGCCACATTGATGAGTATTTATTCATTCACTTGCTCCGGTGGAGCGGGATAAATTGGCTGTACAACGAGGCGCCTGGAAAAGAGAGTACGTGAACACACACTGGATTGGCTAGTCAGAGGTGAATGGAAATCGATCTCGAGTTCTATTCTCGCACATCTTGTCGTTACGAATCACCGAGCCGACGCTAAAGAAGCCTTTTAGGTAGTCTACCGGACACCAGCGAGCTTCTCCAGAGGCCTACGCCAACAGGTGCTAGCTACAGCCGAGGCAGTGGCTATACGACTAGCCAGTGCAGTGTTATGCTGTCAGAAGACTCTGACACAGGCGCTCTGACTTCTGTGGCCAACGCCGCCCCCAACGTCGCCTCAACCTTCTGGTGGCAGGGTGTGTGCACAACGTACCCGACGTGCTCACAGCCTATGCCCCCCTCTCCCTCGTCCCCTTGACCCAATGACCACGACACGTCGACCACGCCATAGCACGCCTCGTCATGCGAGTGGCGTGGGGACGATGATTGGCGTGGGAGCGATGGATGGGAATTGCCCCCGAATCACTTATAAGCCATATAACTCGCCTCACTTAAACTTCTATGTAACCGTTTTGGCCTGATGAAGAGTTACCGAAAACACGTGTTTACTAATTTAACTTTTCAATTAAGAGTTTTATCACAATTTCATAGCTAGTACTTATGGAATCAAGTTCAGGATTTGACGACATATATATGTACCACTGATTTATCTGGTTCTAGTTTCAGACGTATCAAATGTTCAGGCAACTGATCGGCGGAAACCGCTGTTGCTTGCATACCTTCCGCCAGGAAAAAAGGCAAGAAAACATCTATTTTGCCCAACCGTATGTAGGAATGCCACGTAGAGGGACAATGGACATATCGGTATGTTCAATTTGTGTACGTTCGCCAAACCGTAAAACCGCGTTGTGGCAAAGTCTGAAAGTTTCATACAAAATCAATCTTTAGCTGTAATTGTCCCATTTGCTCTAAGTTTTGCCGGACATTTGTTTATTTAAGTAAGCAGATTTATGATCTCACTGGTTGGAAACATGTTATTGCACTGTGGATCGTCAGGTAGGTACAAAGCTTCCTTCCGGTAATAAGATTTGTTAATCACTACCGTGGAACGATCTTTGTCAGCGGGCAGTATGACTATGTTTTTATCCCTTTTTAGAAGGACACACCTTCCTTTCATCAACTCGTAAATGATTAATCTTGGAAAGAAAACGGCAGGATTACGGAATTGATGGCGTTCTATCTAACAGCCTGGCCTGTTGTCCCTGGATGCTGCGTGATGGAACGCACGCCAGACACATGACATCTTATTACAACTGACGCACCTCGCAAAGCATACCTAACTATGATTCAAAAATGCACGTGATTTAAAAAATCCTGTAACGATAAAGGGGGAAGGAAGGAATCGCTGAAAATTTTCTATTACGCTGCATATGATGTCAATTAGAATTAGCGATTCATGGGTGGTTATTTCGAAGTAATTGACATTTCGTTTGTCGACTACAAAATTTCTCGACGAGCTTTATAACCAATCCTTTCGAGTCGAGCATTGCAAACATATTCCATGGAAAATGCGCAGAAGAATGCACCCTATTTCATATCTTCAGAAGGCAAATTAGGTCTTTTTCATACGGTTTACTCGAAGAAAATGCATAAATCCGCATTAAAAACGTTTCGTATACAGGAATAGTTTTCGACATTTCCCTGCCGGTACATTTGCATTCTGGGTTTCCAAAGCACGAACGGCATATCGTTTTTGTACCAAGAATCATAATTTCTATACGTTATTAAGAGGAGAACGTGTAAACTCAATAACAGTTGGCAATGGATATGAGTCATATCATTAACTGGGCGGGCAACATTGCTAACTGGGGAGACACGTTGATTTATGGTCTTATAAACTGTACAAAACCAAATTATAACCTTTTTGAGTGTAAGTTCCTAACAAAGAAATAAAACAATGAGCACTTATATGCATATTTCCTGTAAAATATGCTTTAATTTATAAGGACATCAAAAGTCAATGAGAAGCTGTGTAAACTCAATAACAGTTGGCAATGGATATGAGTCATATCATTAACTGGGCGGGCAACATTGCTAACTGGGGAGACACGTTGATTTATGGTCTTATAAACTGTACAAAACCAAATTATAACCTTTTTGAGTGTAAGTTCCTAACAAAGAAATAAAACAATGAGCACTTATATGCATATTTCCTGTAAAATATGCTTTAATTTATAAGGACATCAAAAGTCAATGAGAAGCTGTTGCAATAATTTTTTAATCATTTATTACAGTTTAAAATTCCAGACGGCCAGAATTACGTTTGATCAAAAACTGGCATCCCGGAGTAATTAAAATATCTTAAGATTATGTTGAAAGGAAGTAAACACTATAGCCTTAAGTGCGTAATCTACTCGTATCCAAAACGGATATAGTAATGTTCGTTAGCATTTTATGAGGTAGGACATCTACTGTATTAGGCATTTCCCATATCCATTTTCGATGTATTTTTTTCAATTAAAATGTGTTTTATAGGGGTCTTGTATAAAGACTTTATTTTTTCCTCAATGTCAGATTGTACAGTCGAATAGAGGGTATGTTTTAAGTTAGCAAATTGTTTTCGATTCTGGGAAGAGTGTTGGGCTTTTTTTTCCGTTCATTCGTAGTCAGGATTTTCAGTCTTCAAACTGCACATGTTCGTCTTATGAAAAATCATGCATTAATTCATGTCATTAAGAAAATGCCGCATATTACTCACAAAGTGTTATAACGAATGCGAGCTATGATATGCACTCATTATTTTTAAACAAACAGATTCGATGCCATTTAAATTGAAACTGGAGTTTAAAAAACAATTAATTTTAAACACTATGAGACCCAAAATATGTCCTTCTAATAGGGCACAATATTAACAGATCATGTACTATACTGCCGAAAGTGTTTTGAAGAAATATTTTCGTGCATGTATTAGGTAAAATATTTTTCACTTATATGCACGTAAAATGACGCTGAAGATGATCTATTGTAGATAGGCAGTCGTCACTTACTCGATGCGGCATATGAAGATGGTCGGAAAGAAATGCACCTAAATACCAATATTGAGGCGTGAGAAATATCACTTAAATGTACCACATTTTTTCAATATTACAACGACTTTTTATTTGTCATTTCTAGTTGTAAAATGATTTATTAATTTTGGTTGATATGTTGCAAGACTGATCATCTACTCAAATCGCTAGGTATCTCTGCACAGTAAGGGGCTTATCATGCCGAACAAAAAGCGACATTTATTAAGCCAGATTCCACATTTTCCGTGTACGTCGTACATGCGGGGTGGATTAAAATTATTAAAATATTTTTGTATATGATTGCTTCGTAGGCAATCCATTGATCTGTAAAGAACGAGGTACTGTTGTGGCAGTTTCCTATCTGATATTTAAGGAAATAACATATGGCGAACTAGGGGACTGTCTTAACTACGGCAATTTGAACTTAATGCTGCCCTTAGTCCTTAAATCACATCCTTGACTAACGTGCGGAAACAGAGTAAGGAGCATTTGCGTACTCATGTATGAGGTGGACCACAGACGCTTTTGTCGGATCGTGACTGAGTGCAGTCGGGACTGCGGCTACAAATCCGTGACCTACGCCATCCATTTGGTGATTGTGAATGTCAGTGTATTGGTGCTGATATAGTCCCATGTTCAGTCAAATTTTGTAGCAGCCGTAAAACATATTCCCATGGATTCCTTCCCAACGCCCTTCCGATGAAACATCATTCATAGGTAGCGCCATGTCAGGCGAGAAAATTCTTTAGAAATATCCGTGACAATGTGCAACCGCCGTTCCAGGTCGAATTACTAAGGGCATTCTGAGCAAGCTGAAAAGGCTGCTAGAGGATTTCATTTAAAAAGCACTTAGTTGACATTGGCCGTACCTTGGACACAATAGTGCCATCTAAATTTCCATTTAGGCTACAGCCAGGCCCCTCCTGCGCTGTGCAGAGACCACAAGGAACACAGGGAAATGAAACCAGAACTCCGCATTACAGAGGTGAATCACTTGATGAACATCTTCCTACTATGACAAGGATTGATAAAGGAAATTTACTCTATTTAATCTCGAGTCCTCTTAATTCTTTCACTAACATACTTTCCCGTTGCCCCGCCCATTGCAGTTTTAAGAAGATCCAATAGGTGTCCACCCTAATGTGAACAAATTCGGCCACGTTCAGTTATGCATCACGTTCCGTTCCTTTAAGCCCCCTATGACAGTTCGACCATCGGTTTCGATGATGTCCACCGTGTGCCCCACAGTTGCAGCAGCAATGGGAGCAGGGACGGTGACTTACGCAGGGGTTTATAGTTCCGGTAGACTTTCGTAGCATCTACCTACACTCTCTCCTCCTCCCTCGCCAGAGCCCGGTGTCAAGACAGTGTCAAGAAGACCGGAGACGAGAGACGCCGCAGGTGGATGGCTAGGACGGAACCTCACCTTGGCGTTCCACCACACCCCCTGGCGCACACAACAAATAACCAGGATTTCAACCAACACAATAGAGATTTGAAGGCTGGCAGGACCGAAGCCGCACCTGGGCGTGCCGCAAACGCCTGGTTTGGATCCCACACTGTGATGGGAGTGCCATAAAGGCCACATTGAAAAGGAGCCATTTCAGCCTGACTCTCAGACCGCCTCCGGTCAAGGAGGCTTCAAGCGCGTCAGATTGTTTATAGTAAGGAGAAAGTGCGCTGAGTCGTCGACCTCACTCTCCCTTCCCACTCCCACACACCAGCCGCTGTCCGAGCCGGTCAGCAGACTGGAGTGGGGAATGGGCGCGGTGGCTGTCATGGCCGACTGACCATGACTGCGCGCGCCACGGCACGACCTGGCCCCCCATACACACAAACACCAGGATTACACACAACGGGGGTTGAACGGCGTGTCTCTCACTTGCGTGAGAGGGCCGTGGAAGGTGCTGATTCAGTCCCTCGCCCAGCCCACCAGTCCGCCACACCACAGAACACACACACACACAACGCGATGAACTGCGTAAACCGAGAGCGGGCGTCAATCAGCAACCTTCCAATCCACGACGCTTGACGTGTCGGGATAGTCTCGGACTCAAGTTACCCGTGCAGCCGAAGCCGCATGGGGACCGAGTCGAGATGCGGACTTCCCACTTGCGTGGGAGGTGGCAGTTGGTTGCATGAGGTGTGTGAGTGTTGATTTCTGGTGGGGTGGTGGTGGTGGTGGTGGTGGTGGAGGAGGAGGAGGAGGTAGGGAGTGAATGAATGTGTGGTGTGGCCGCCGGTTGTCTACCGCAGGTCGTCGTGGATGCGCATGTGGCCGAATAGGCTCTTGCGATGCCTGAAAGTGCGAGGACAGTGTGGGCAGTTGAGACGAGCTTGGTGGGTATAGGTGGGTGCTCCAGTCACTGGTTCGCCAGTCTCTGTGCGATGGATTCGCAAGTGACCGACCAGGCCGATGCGTGAGGTGAAGGTACGGTCGCAGTGAGGGCAGGTGTAGTCCTGATCCTACTACCTGGAGTCCGGGGAAGGTGGAGGTAGTGTCGGTTGCTGTGCGTGGGACAGTCGCCTGAGCGGCCGCCATTGGAGCAGTGGGCGAGGAGAGGAGGAGGAGGAGGAGGAGGAGGAGGAGGAGGAGGAGGAAGAGGAGGAGGAGGAGGATGAGAAGGAGGAGGAGGAGGATGATGGAAGTGGTGGGTCAGAAGAATTGTCAGGGTTAGTTGGCGGCGGAGAGGAGGAGGAAGAGGCAGGGGGGGGGGACGACGGTTGGTGCCGTTCGAGAGGCGCAGTTAATCCGAAGATGTCCAACAAGTCCGATTCGAGCCCGGAATGTCCGTTGACATCGAGGACACGTTGGAAGCGATTGTGCGGCGGCGATGCTTACTGGGCGAATTTGTGATTTGCGGCTTCCCGTTTCGCTTTGGAAGCAGCGATGCGGTTGGCTTCGTAGATCGCAGCGCCTGTCTTCACTGTCCTCCTTCAGGTCGGTCGATCGAGTGCGAGATCCTCCCAGTCGGCGGGGTTGATTTGCAGGCGTTACAGGGAGGACTTCAGTGTATTCTTGTAACGGCGAATCTGGCCTCCTTGACGGCGAGAACCCGTCGCGACGTCTCCGTAGAAGAGTCGTTTGGGTAGTCGCTCGTCGTCCATGCGCACCAGGTGGCCGCTCCAGCGCAGCTGAATTTGCCTCAGTATGGCGTAGATGCTGTGGATACCCGTCCGTTCCAGCACATCAGTGTCGGGGATTCGATCCTGTCAGTTCAGCCTCAGGATGCGACGAAGACAACTGAGGTGGAAGTGGTTCAGACGACGTGGCTGCTTTGTGTACACCGTCCAAGTCTCCGCTCCATACATTGGCGTCGACAGGATGACGGCCTTGTACATCTTCAGCTTCGTGCTCAGTTGAAGTCCGTGACGATTCCAAACTGTGCTTTGGAAGCGACCGAAGGCTTGACTGGCTTTCGAGATCCGATTGGCGACTTCGTCGTCGATCTTGGTGTTGCGGGAGATAGTACTGCCCAAGTACGGGAAGTTCTCCACCACTTGCAGTTGGGTCCCATTCACGCTGATTTGCGGCGGCGCGTTGGGGGCTGTGGCCGAGTTGGGTGGCGGTTGGTGCATCACCACCATCTTCTGTGTGTTGATGACCAGACCGAAGTTCTCGCACCCGGCGGAGAACAGGTCCATGCTCCGTTGCATCTCCTCTTCCGAGGTGCTGTTCAGGGCGCAGTCGTCGGCGAAGAGAAGTTCAGGAACTGTGGTTGTGGATACGCGCGATTTGAAGTGCATCCGCCGTTGATTCAGGAGGTGACCGTCCGTCCTGTAGGCGATGCGGATCCCGGGGCGTTCGTCGCGGTAGGCGTCCATCAGCATGGCAGAGAACATAAGACTGAAGAGGGTAGGCGCCAGAACGCAGCCTTGCTTCACTCCATTGGTCACTGTGAATGCCTCTGAGACAGCTCCGTTGTCCGTGTCCACCCTAATGTGAACAAATTCGCCCACGTTCAGTTATGCATGACGTTCCGTTCCTTTAAGCGCCCTATAAGTAAATACTGACCGCAATCAATTAAAAACAAAGTCAAGAATTTTTATGACGTCATTAAATTCTACACATCTCGTGGTATTTTACTGTCCAAGCCTATACATGGGCAGCTGTGTTTCGAAATTTCTCTGTAACATCAGCAGTGAAGAGGCGAGTGGACGTTTGTGCGCCAGCAGAAACCCCTTGACAATATTAAGCAATCGACTCGAGTTTTGACCGACAACAGCGTAACAACGGGTCAGCTATACGAAGATGGCTGAACGGCCATGCACATTACCTGTATACCCAGTGTGAACAAAAGAGCATTTATCGGCGAGAACCCAGCTCTTAGACAGCTGCCAACACACGCCAGGCTGCGAGGAGCATGCTTTACTGGCACTGCCATAGCAGATACTTACAGCCCTTACGGTTTACAGGCTCAGCGACTTCCGCCTAACAAGGTGATGACTTAAAGCACACAGCCAAATGCGTCCGCCACCTGAGCAAGCTCTCAGACACGTCAACTTCCCAGGAAACGTCTTCCGGTGAGACCCTCTTACTTCTTAGATATAATATATACAATAGCCCTTCTCCTGCAGCAAAATCCAGGATAGTCTCCTTTTCATGTGTCATGGCCAGAGTTAAACATTGCCTTAAGCGTAACGCCTATTTTAAAAGGAATTATTATTTTAATGCTGAGTCCACCTCCGGTTCTGCCCTTAATGCTTACCTCCAACGCAACGCCCGGCAGTAATTTTAATTGTAGGAATAATAAGACTGGGATTACCGCAAAATCCGCAATATTACGGGATTCATCTCCTGTTTTCACCAGCGGATTACCTCTTTAGGTCAAATTAATATGTTGTTGAAAATCCCGTCCTGGTTTTTTCAAACATTCGAAGAGACAGCTGGCTGCATTCTCCAGTGTTACTAATTGCTATTCGTAGTCATGGCCTTTAGCCATGTCAGAGTAAATCTAGCTGGGTCTAACGCCAAGTGTGGTGGGGAACATCAGGACGCTCTCATCCCTGCAAGTTTAAAACTGCCTGCTACTCGAGATCCTCACTGTCAAATTTCTTTCATTACACACCGTCTGTTTAAGTCGCTTGTACGCTTGATGGTTTTAATATTGCCATTCACGCTGATCATATGTCGCCTTAACTCATTAATCCAAAGATACTTTTATTCTGCTGGTATGGCTCAAATAATTGCAGTCAGTTATCAATCTCGAGAAATTGTTGCAAATATATGAAATATGATTTACTTGGTAAAGAGTGCATACTTGCGTTTTGAACATAGATTAACCTACTGCATTATTCCATTTTATTTCAAGCACGGCGGCATATTGGAACTTGAATTCGTAATTTCGCGTTATCCGACAAAAGAAACCGGTTAAGTAAGAATGTACGTGAAATAGGTATGAATTCTGCGTTTAGTAATATTCGACTGTCTTTTAGATTCATATGCGCTTCATATAAACTATGCCAACAGTTGTTCTCCTTTTCTATTGAGATCATCGAGCTTCGCTTTTAAGTTTTAATTTCATTAGAGGTGTAAATCTATGGTGTAAATTTATGGTTTAGGCATTTGGACTCAAATTGATTATGCTTATGTTTTAAGGGGTTTCATGCCACGAGTTCCGCAATTTACGTTCATGAAGAAATATAAATGTTTCTACATTATAAGTATATACCTCACGATTACAACAGGTTAAGGATAATTTTACAGTAGGTGGGCTAATTAATGAAATGTCAAACTAAATTCCAAAATGCTTTTTTCGTTTTGAAAATGTTATTTTATTATTTTTGTAAAACATAGCATCCGGCCACATACTTCTATAACAATTCACTTACCCCATGATGCCGACTTTCAAATGTACTTCTTTTCGACTGCATGCAAAAAGATAATCTTTAAAAAGTGACTTCTTAATTTAAATTCCTATTGTTCTTTGATACACGATACCTTTAGAAATGCGACTATATTTTAAGGAAAATATGCATGAAAATACTTATTTTTTATGCATTTGGTAGAGATAATGCCTTCTTCTAGTTTTATCCTCGAAGGAAGCGTATAATTTAGTTTTCAAAAACTTTTACAATTCCCGAATAATTTTTAATCCGGCCTACCGTTGCACACATATTCAGGGTTGACAAACTACATGTCATATATTCTCCGCGCAAGGAAAACTGTTCATTTCTCCACGGCATTGAGAAGAGACCATAAGGAATGCATAAAATTTAGCAATGGATATGAGCCATATCGTTAACTTCGAAAGCCACCTGTGTAAATGCGGATAAATTACGTTCTATAAATGGCCATTTCACGGTATTAAAAAAATTTCACATTAAAATCTTTTTTAAAACCAATTTATACACTTTCTTCGAGTATGAAATCAGAATTTTATGAAATTTTCTATCAAATGAGTAAAAATAAATATTTTTATGCATAGTTTCCCTGAAATTTAATTGAATTTCTAAGGATATCGTAAAGCAATTAGAAAATGAATGCCAAATATGTAGTTTCTTTTTGATGGGAAGATTCTTTGCATGCAGCCGAATAGAAATGCAGTCGAAAACAGGCATCTTGAATTCATTTAGAGTTAAGTCGCAGGATCATAAATCTAACAACACTAGTTAATAAAACTTTTCAAAATTAAAACGCATTTATAACTTCGCTGGACATTTCATGAGTTCGCACACCCAGTGTATATACTTAATGAGGAACATTACTTAATGGACAGATCCAAGTAAAATATTTAAAAAAATTAAAAAGATCAAGGTAAAGCCTCCATTCCGTCTAAGTATTCATTTGCTCGGACCGAATCTACCCAAATATTGAACAAAATCCTCAACGTCGTTTAAGGTGGAAGGGCCAAATTTCAAAATGCCAATTTGAATTTTTGTAAATGGATGTCTTGTCTGACTGATTTTGCCAACAATTGCTTGGAGACATTAATGATTTCAGCCTGTAAATAGCGAGAAGTAAATGCGCTGAAAAAAGACTGAGGTTCCGGTCCTGCAAAGTCCGTCAGAATTCTACGTAAAATCCAAGAAATCAACCGAGTTATCCACAAATAATTTCTGACCTGCAAGAGCAAACAGCAGACCCTTTGTATTCCATAGTGTTTTTCGAATTCTTTCGGGATTTTACAAATATTATGGCTGTTGCATTGGCCACCATCAACGCGGCCTAATAGGGAAAGCTTTTGACAGTGAAAACATGGCGTATAATCCTGGATTTTTTACTTACCCAACACCTGAAACTGCACACTGCTTCGGTCCGACTTTGTTTAGTCAACTTGGTCGTAGAAGATTAATTTACGGAATTTTGGCGAACGGCCACCGGCCTGTTCATTTCAATTTTTCACGTAGGTATTTTTCCCAGAGAAGATAATTGAGAAAATAATCTATTACTTCATTGTCTGTTGGCTATTATGCAGAGAAGTTTTAGTCACGAGCTCAATCTAAAGGAACGACCGAATATCTACTTTTGTTGCAAGCATTTCCGCCATCGTGGTAGTGCGGAAATTTTGATTTTTAAAATAATTGCGGACTGTCGCGTAGTTGCTCACGTGTCGTGGCATAATTAGTGAGGGATTGCGGATAGTGGGAATTTTTTGCGTAATACGATGTTATTTTTTTCGCATTTCGTTTGACAGCATGCGAATAACACGTGATGTAATACCGCGACTGACGCATGTTCTACATTATATAAGGGGATGAGTTTCAACGCTCATTATTAAAAATGTCTGCAATTCTGGCAATTTTCCTGTGTTTGGCGATAATCAGTATTGTTCCAGGTGAGCCAGTAATATTTTTATACCTGAGAAATATCATTCGCATTGAAAGAATTTCTTATAATCAAACTGGCAACGTCAGTAATCCAGATCGTTAGCATGCGCTATAACCCCTTAACTAAGGAAGCAGTTGCACCTTCTAATTCAGATGAACAAAACAAAGCCGCAGAATTGACAGAACTACTTGCTAAAAGTAATTCGGCAAACGTCAAATCACCGATAGAGCTGGCACCGACCAGTCGGTACACAACTGATTAAATCTCTATCAATACATGACGTCCATAACAGTTTTTTTTAATTCCTGCCATGATGAAACACGAAACCTAACGTTTTATTAAACAAAGATGCAGCCACATTGTGACAGACTAGTCGGATACGCAGCTGGCGCACTGATGGCAGGGAGTTTTAGCCTGCAACGAGTCAGTTTTCAAAAAGTGGACGAAATGGTTCAATACGTAAGGAGAGATTGACGGGCAAGATAATATGGGTGCACCTTTCTGTTTAGGAAAGTATTGGTGTATTTCCAGTACTTCAGGTGCTGGTCAGCAAACAGAAGTCAGAACCGTCAATTCGCCGTACAGTTTATGCACTTTAGTAATCTATTTTCAAAACTCGAAGTTCACAACTTCGGCTAATTGTGCTAACAAATTCCTCGCCTGTATTCTGCCAACGACCTGAAGCAATCATCGATGCGCAAACGCAGTCAAAGGCTCTACGGGTGTGGTCTTTCATTTTATGGCTGGGTATTTCTTCCTTGACGCCGGTTTCTGCCGTTTGCCTCAAAGCGTTAATCTTAGCAGATAATGGCTAAATATTCTGTCAATTTCGCATTATTTTTTGTCAGCTTATAACTATAATGTAATACGGAGCTCGATGTTTAAGGACATCTACATTAAGTTTGATCAATCAATATTTTATGCTGGAATTGGCAACTTTTCACATAAGGTAATATCAAGAATACTGTGCATCCAAGATGTTATCGACGTTTCTCAATAAGATGCTAGTTTGTTCTCGGTAAGTTGCATTATAATACGTTAGAACTGTTACCTGATGGATAAGATGTCTTGA